AACCTGTGATGACTGAATCAATTCAGCCTCAGGATTTTTGAATGTCTGTACTTAGCCCTTTTGTGTTAAAGATTTGAACCAGTTTCCAGTCACTTGTGTGTAACTTCTGTCCCTACCCAAAAGGAGCAAAACTGCTTTGACTTTAACCCCGTTTAATTCAGGGTCAAAATTAGGGCAATTTTAGCTATAGGATCACATAGATGTAACAGTTAGATCACAACAGCTGATATGTGCTCCCAGTCAGTGATTCCCTCTCTCCCTTTAAAAGAGATAAAAAGAACACTTGTCCAAATTCTTCAAGCTTTTTTAGTCTTTCCTTGGCATAGACATTTCACAAATCAGCATGGATATGTTACTAACTCTATAAAACAGACTCACGGAGGGGGAGGGATGTGTGGAGGGAGACAAACAGACAAACACTATATTTTCAAATGACTTGACTTTCCTTCAGCGGTGCTTGTTTCCTCAGCTGATTCTAGAACATAAACCCCTCTTTCCAACTTAATTGCACAGAAGCTCCTCATTTGTTAAACAGTTTTAATTCTAGCTCAGTAAATTAAATGCACTTTCAGATTTATTTGGTCATTGCCTCAATGCCAAACTAGAAAGCAATTTTCAGTACATTTTATAATGATTAGGGAAGAGCAACAAAATTAAATCTTGCTAAGCCCTAATACTGAAAGCAGGAGGCTGTACATAAAGCACTAAGCCCCACTTGGTGTTATCCACTTCCATTAGGAAGGTCCTTGTACTTTCCTAAAAGTACAGCATTATTACCAAATTAGAATCCAGTGACACTAAATCAACTTTTCAATGAACAAAACACTTAATTAAAAACAAACAAACTGATTTCTACCTCTATTTCTGCTGAAAGGTTTGCCTCTTTTTTGATGATTCTTTAAACATCTCTTATTGGCATGAAAAGTCTTAAAACTAGAGTACTCTCTACAAAAGTTTGGTATTTTATTATACCACTCTAGATAACATCCTTTCTGACCAATGTCAGACTGAAGCAAAAGTTTAGAAACTATTCCTGAAGTCTGCCATACCCGTCTGAAGTTCCTTTTTCATGATGCTTCAGTGGAGTCAATGGTCAGAGGTCTGAATTCCCAACACATAGGATTAGCTATGCTGAAAAAAATCACCTTAATATATACCATCTTCCTAGGGCTTCTGAAGGTAGAGAAGATTTCCCTCTAGCACTACACAACATGAATGGGCTAAAATGTTGCTGAAATTATCCTGATGTGACCTATTTGGAGAATGAAGGATAAGCTTATTTAATATACTCTTTCCTGCTAGTTCCAAAGAAGTATTTCAAGAAGTGAGGCTTCAATTAATCTGAAATACTGTTGCAGTGTAACCACAATCCTGGAACAAGTTTTAGTTTTATTCAGACACAAGCTCCCTTTTTTGATTGCATTCTACTTAAAATAGCCTTTGACCTCTCTACACAATACTACAGCTTTTACCAATTCTTGTTTAGCTAATGTATATATCCTGAATTCTTCTAGTTTTATCTCAAATTACTTTTTTCAGCATTCCAGCAGTTAATTTTGTTATTTTTAACTTGCTTCAGAAATCCCACTGCTTCCTCTCCAAACTGGATATGCCAGTATATGAAGGGGCCAGATCAGAACTCACCTTGGAATAAGTAAGGTAAGAATAGGCAAGTACACCAGGCCCCATGGATGGATCTCTATTACTCCACTTTGTGGTCAGACACCCTCAAATATGCAATCCACATCAGGAAGGACCTTTCAGATGACATTCCAAGTTTGTTTGATTTGTCATCTGCTATTACTTCATCAATGTCTACTTTCTAAGTTTTGCCCTCCCTTTTAATAATTTAATTTGGTTGTCTATTATGTTGTATTATCCTGGAAGAGTTGCTTTGCCATGATGGAAGCTTGTGTGTTACACAAGTTATATTTTAGCAATACAAGAATATCTTCTTAGTATACAACATATACACGTACCTGTAACACTGGTCTGTAACTCAGTTAATGCAAACTGAACAGATGCTCTCACAAATGCTGCTGAAGAGACCTATTGCAAATTAAATTTGTATTGTGATGATGCAGAGACTTGTGGAAAAAGGCTTTATTGTTATGTTTTCAGAGCAACTGATCTGGTACTGTAAATTGAAAAAACTAATTCTGGAAATTAAAAATACAAAAATGAATCTACAGAACATGGACACAAAAACTCTTGGCATCTTTCTGGTTTGCCAGCACACTAAGGATCCATAAAAGTCATTGTCAAAGAAATTTATAATATTAGCTGTGGATATTCAATCTGTGTAATAGTCCACTCTGGGTTTACAGCTCGTGAAGCTTCCCTTCGGAACCTAGGGAAATCAGCACAATAAGTTAAGAGTTATTAAAATTAAGTTAAACTTTTAGAAAGCAGCTAATGCTATTAAAATGTTGGAAAAAATACAGAAGCTATTCAAATCACTTCTCTTAATCTTTGTTCCTCTAAAAGCCTAGATGTTTGAACAACTCACTGGGAGCTACTTATTTCCCTCCCCGCTCCGTACTCCCTCCCCAGGGTGTAGGACTAAAACATCAAACTACTGTATTTCTATAGCAGACAAGCAGGGATGGCAAATCTATTTTTTTTTTCAAATAATAGTAAAAAAAAAATAAATTTAGGGTTTTTCTCTTATTTAAATAATTTTTAAAATAAATGCTTATTTAAAATGAAGTATTCATTTACTGCAAATTATGTTAAACCTTTAAGTTATGGTAGCCTCTTAAAATATTTAAATAAACAATAAATATGCTGAACCCATGACCTTCTATCAAAAACTCTGAATCAGAGGCTGTATGCTTTTCTGTGTACACAAAGAAAACAGTGGCAGGACATTTTATTTTTGAGGTCAAATATTATAAATATGGCGCAACAGGTCACATACTGTATGAAATGGTTTATTCTGTGGAGAACCTAGAAATCATACTACTGGGCAAAACAGACTGGCAAAAAAACAAACAAACAAAAAAACCCCAAAACCACAGACATTAAGGACTATCCTGACCCAAAAAGACACCACCACTCATCTCAACAGAATCATCCACTGAAATCAAAGTGGGTGATTTCATACTCCTAGTTTATAGATTCTCCCTACCCACACTGCACCTGACTCAGTTTCCAAATCAACATAGAAATTTATGTATCCAAAACACTTAAGCATATTTACTTTTAAAAAATTAGATGGTGTTTTTAAATGAGTGTTTAATTAAATTCTAGTTGCCATTCTAATGAAGCTGCTTGATACAAATTATAAGCAAAATTTTCTAGTAAATAAGCAGTACATAATTCACCATTTTCTAAAAAGCTATATAATTACTTAGATAAGTGTACAGAGCTAGTGTACCATCTTAGGCAGCAAAAATGTATCAGGCCTACCTAGTGTGAAGACTCTACTTAAGTTTAAAATGTAAATATTTTAATGATTAAATAAACCAGTAAGAAAAACTACTGAAATAAAATGGAAGAGTTCATTAAAATTGATTAAATTAAAATTTTAAATCCATCTAGGCTGACCTAAAGCTTACATAAATCAATAGGAGTCTTTTTGGTTAGTTTTGGCTTAGACCTCAATAAGAACAAAGGAAACCTTGGCATTAATTGTCTACCCGATTTTTATAACATCACCTTTGGAATTCCCAGAAGGTGGTCTACAGCAAAACTAGTTTCTAAATAGTTTTTCAATTTAATGTGAGCAGACAGATATTTTTTAATTCAGAACTACTAACTAGATACTCTATACTGAATGATCTGGGGTGGGGGGGCATGAAAAAACTGAGTAAAATTAAGTTAATCCTTTAGATAGTACACTAGATTTAGTAAAAATGGAGCTAACGGAAACACCGAATCCTTCTATACATTTCCATTGTTTGATAAAATGTTAGTAGATAAGCATTGTGTACTTTAGCTTGTGCCTTACTGCTGGAATCTTTCAGCTTCTGTTTTTTGAGTTTTCAAGGATTTTTTAAAATTTACTCTTTTAGTGACCTTAAGTTTAATTACATTAGAAACTAGTGTTCCCCAAGTCACCCATGGATAGGGAAACAATATTTTCTGAGTCTCAAATCAGGGCAGTGGGGCACAGAGCACTGGAGAGCAGGAGGATGAACTTGCTTGTTTTCACCAGGACACCTGTCCCAGGAATCCTGCTGAAAGCAGGATAAAAGCATATCTAACAGGATTCCCTGGACAGATGTTTAAAATGAGATTGTCTCAGCAAAAACAGGAATTATGTTCTTTGGCCAGGGTGACCATGAGCAGTAGCAGTATAACTATGATGCCCAAACAGTTGGTGCCAATCCTTCCCTAAGCAGGACCACTTAACACTCCAGTGACAGGCACTTTTCAAAAGTTGAGTTTCGCTATCCATTTGACCCTTGTTTTCCACTGAAAGTGGCAGAACACACAATTTAGTTGCACTCATGAACCAGGAGCTGACACGACTCAGACTATGTCCCTCAAGAGGAAAAGAGTCTTAAAAAAAACCTTGAGATAGGTTTCAAATACAGCAGAGGTGGGCTTAGACAGAAAGCAAAGAGGGAATATTTCCTCAAGGTTTGGACCCTACATAACATCTCTTGGAATATAATTTTTTAGAAGGACAGCCACCATATCGTAAGTTTGGCACTAAAATGCCACATGCCTCTTACTCTTTACAACTTAGGAGAATATTATTTTATTACCATGTCATCAGTGCAAATAGTTTGCATAGCTCTGACACTGACACATTTTATAACAGATATTGTATATTAATTCCTATGAAAATACATCTTCTCAACCAGTGTGTGAACAGTGATGTGAACTATTCAAACACCAGATGATGTTTGCTTTGTTTGGCTTCCCTTCAGAAAACACTCAGTTCAATCTTTCTTCTCTCAGAGGCTGTTTTCTTGAGCCAACTGCATGCTTTTGCAGGAAGGCTGTATTTGAGAAGAGTGATGAGGAAGAAACAGACTGAGGACTGTTTCTTATTGCACTACAGGCACCTTTCCTAAGGGGTGCAGCTGAAGTATAGGAAGGGATTAAAAATAGTTTGTTACATGAATCTGTTTTCTAACAGATTTAGAGAGCTTGTTTCAGAATAATGCAAAGCTATAAGGTTGAAATACAATAATCTTAAGGGGATATTTGAGGAAAGAAAGAAAAATAACCCAGCTGAACTCCAGAAGAGAAGCTGGGTCAAATAATAAGGGAACTTTAATGCACAAGGGTGAGATACAATACAGTCACAAAGTGTCTATCCACACAGCAGACTGTATCAGAGTTTGGAACTCAAGTCCATTTTTAATCATCTAGTTTAGGTACTAGAAAGAGTCTAGACCAGGGGTGGCCAACCCGCAGCTCTGGAGCCACATGTGCCTCTTCAGAAGTTAATATGCATCTCCTTGAAGCTTTGCACAAAACACACAGCAACCAGCTTCCATAGCCATTACGTCACGTGATGCGACTGCTTGCAGCAAGCACATTACTCAGTTTGGACTCGGAAGTTTGGACACTGGAGCCGCAGGCTGGCTATCCCTGGTCTAGACAAGAAGCAAGATAAATCAGCCTGAGCTAGGCTCTGTGCTACCCCAGCTACACTGTTTTTAGTACTTCGGCTAGTTCAGGTATTTCTAAATTAAACTACAAGTTGTGATGTAGACATGCCTTAGGAAAGACTGGAACTTACTCGTACTTTGCTGCTAAAATATTTTTACGTGTTTCAAGTCGAAACCCGAAAATTTCAACTTCAGAGATCACAGTACTGCAGTTATACCAAAAGCCCATCCAGATTACAACAAACTCTCTTCCTCCTAGAAAGAAAACAAAAATCTTATTCCAGATCTTTTACTTACACTCTACCATACATTTAACTAAGAGCCAGAAAAAAGGCTAAAAGAATGCAAAAGAGGATAAGGAAGAGACAAGGGTATTTAAAATCATCTTCATAAAGTTTAGCAACAGTAAAAAGATAAAAACATGTCCTTTAAAAAGAGGTGCAAAATTCAGCAGAAGTAAAGGTCCAGCCAGTGAATGGCTTATTAGTTTACTAGAATCTAGTTTACAATTAAACCAAGTGAATACATCAAAATGAAGCTTTAAGAAGAGAAACAGAATCCGGGAACGTTTCTATAACAAGAAATGTTTTAGAATTCTATACCTACCACTGTCACGGTAAAAGCCAGTCCGTTCTGCTGATGCAAACATTATTTTATCCATATCAACAGCCAAGGCATTCTTGTCGTCATCAGACAGTAAAGCAAGCCTCTTCTTCCACACTTCAAATACCTAAAATTGAGAAGAATGGTACTTTTCTTAACCCTACACTTCATTCCAAACTTGAAGCCAACACTGCATATCAGTTCAGCATTACAAAAAAATAGGGATTAGGGCTGTTAATTAATTGCAGTTAACACACACGCTTAACGTGTTCCTCATTGTTTGCGTAATAATTTTTTTATGCATTAATCACACGTGGTTTTGGAGCCTGCACCCAAGCTACACACTTTCACCATCACTGCTGCCTCCAGGCTGCCCTGCAGGGGCAACAGTGGCAGCAGAGAGGACCACAGGGCAGCCCAGGCACAGGCTTTAGGAGGATGCAGCAGGGGGGTGAGGAAGCACACAGACATGCAGATGCAGCCTGCAGGCAGCCAGGAACACAGCCCAGCAGCATGTAGAGCAGTGCCTAACAGGCAAGTCTGTGAAGAGGAAGGGGAGTGGAGGAGGTAAGTGGTGTGGA